TGGTGATTCCCACCTCTATTATTTACTGTATTTTGTTTCTATATAAATGATGACAGGCTCAGACATACACCTTGCAAAACTGATACATTATTTAGTCTGTAAACAGTCTGTGAATTATGAATTGTTAAGGCTGTTTCAAACAGATGTGTGCAAATGGTATTTCAGCAACATTGCCCTGGTTTTTCTATGACACCTACACAACACATCATAGTTTAGTTCCATAAATGACATTACAATTGGAGTAAGGGACAGGCAGAAGAAATATAAGAGTTCTTCATTATCATATCAACGCATGCTGTTCGTTACATATGAGGGTTGTGTGCAGCAGCACGATCAATGTGAGCGTCCACTTACAGAGAGAGAGATGCATTTTATATTAGTCTGTGTTGATTTATGTAAAACCTACGTGCAGTTTTGGTACACTGCACTGAGGTGAAAGCAAACACAGCTCTGAATGTCTCTGTGCGTCTCTTATCTACCTGCCCAGCTGTGAAATGACAGCATGTTGCTGACGCACTCTCACACTGAGCCCGACACTATCGCTTGTGTTCTGTAGCTATACACCGCATTTGTCGTACAGAGTGTATAGAAAAATTCTTGCATCTTCTTCTTTCTGTTTTTTCCTTTCTTTGTTATTACCCAAACAGCTTTGTGGAACCCAGCAAAAACCGAACACTTGGTACTCCTGGCAGCCACGCCTCTCCCACAAAGAGCCGATTTGAACAAAGTGGATCAGGTAGTAAAGTCTGGCAAAGCCCCAACTTACCATAGGAGCTCCTCTTCGGCCAATGACGCTTGGTCGCGGTTTGAGGCTATGACGGTCCATGATGCAGGGGCAGGTGAACGTGAGCGGTGCCAAACAGAGAGCAAGGAGGACTACAGTGTAGATAAACAACACCATCACCTGGATATCTAAGAGAGTGCAAAAAGGGTTGTTAGTGTCATAATGCAACTTTAGCTCATTCCATCTACTCCTAATAACAAACAGTAGTTAGCTTTGTGCGCTTTGATGGGTGGTAAGACTGCAGGCAGCTGCTTGAATAAGGAAAAACAATCCACTAAAGCAGGGTGAATTAGACAATACGTGTACAGACAAATAATACTGAATGCAACTTTACGTTTCAAATAGGAACAAGAAATCAAAAGCAATCCCCAACATGATATTTACTTGAAACACAAGTCAGCACTTACTGGATCTCTCTCTGCGGACAACATATCCAGCTACCAGCCAGCTGATAGCTGTCACTGTTACCAGGGCGCCAAGATGCAGGAAAGGTGCTGTGTACTGATAACAAAGCGTAAATGTGAAATGCTGGCCTTAAAGGATGGTTAGTCATTACACAGCATCAGAGCAAAGCTTTGCCACATTGTTATGATAAATACACACACAGTATAATGATTGAACAGGAGAATATATCAAATGTTACGTTTCATAGAACAAATAACTTTGTATTG